TAATTTCATGGCTGGGGAGTCTGTGTGTTTTACTAATATGCTATAAAAATGTATGTATATAGGAAAGAACCCCATTATTGTTATAAATGCAATTGCTCCTTGGGAAAAAGAGTCTGTGATCTTTTGATTAAAGACCTTTTCCACTGTGTGTGCTGAAAGGAAGCTGCATTAATGCACTTCCTCCTTTATAGTTGTTTTTCTGTAGCTTTAAAATTCTCTTTTGACAACTTTGCTGGGGTTTACACTAGTTTACAACACTGATTTCCTAAGTTGCCATCAGATAGTGAAGACATATATACCTAGTGTGTAACTTTATCTCTGTGCATGCGTAGTGAACAATTTTAATTATAAAAAAATTCTGCCTAAATCTTGAATTACTGTGAGCACCAATGTACTCCCTATGGGATCCTTCAAGGAGTTTAAAATTTTTGAAATTTTAAAGGAATGCACCATATAAAGACTACTCTTGGAAAGAAGCTGAAATGTTTTTAAAAGAGCTCAGTTTGCTGCTGTTGCCCCCGGCTTTTGCTTCTCAGAGGTGGACACATGGCACACCATGGCCAGTATGTTGAGATAACACTGAGCACAGTGGCAGTCTAACACTAAATAAGGCAGATTTCTCATCTCAAGAATGACAATAATGCATTAAAATAGTAAAACAAAAATAGTGGCTGTTACTGAGAAAATGTCCTGATTCCCAGACAAGACTTTTTTTTTTGGCCAAATGTAATCTAATAGTGGATTGTCAAAATAATTAAGAAATTCAGACATTAATCTTATTAGAACATACAAGCAATAACTTTGAACAGTTATCAGCGAAGCAAGTCTGTTTTCAGATCATTGCCTGTGTTCTAGCGGGCTAAATTAATTGATTCTTCTTGATTTTTCCCTGGAAACACGTAAAAATGCCATACAACAAGGCACTCTAGACCTGAGCTGTTAATGCCACTAAGTCACGTAGGTGACAGGAGGCTTTTAAAACACCTGGTAATCCCCATGGGTGATATTTCTAATGTTCAATGCAGTCACAAGATTTAAAAACTCTCATGTTTTTCTTGAGCATAACACTGAAAATGGCAAAAATGAAAGCTGTGGGTTTCATTTCTCTCTCCCTTTACCCAGCTCTAGGAGGCTGTCACACAAAACATAGTAAAATCTACATAGCTAAACTTGTATATAGATATATGTAGGACTAGAGAAATGCAGGTCTATAGGTATATAGGTGTATATATGTATAGATAAAATATATTTATAGATACAAAGAAAATAAGGTACAGGAGCAAAAAACTTCCCTAAATTCCAGGATCAGAGAGCTCAATATCCTCTGCCTGTCTACAATGGCAAGAAGCAGCCAAAGTGTGTAGGTAACATCATCATGACTTTCCCTGGAGCTGGAGCTTTGCTGGGAAACTCTACCATTGATCCAGGCAGTAATTGCTGAGTCTTTCAGGGTTTCCACTCTTTCAGGGTGGAATAAATTTTGGGAAATGGCTGCAAGTGCTGTGCTCTTGTTGGGCTGTGCTGAGGTGATATGAGGAGAGCAAAAAGGAAGAGCTGCCACATGATTGAAAAGCCCACGTGGTTGGTAGCTTTTGCTGTTAATGTCTGTGGAGGCAGGATTGCATATACTGAGTTATGAGGACGACTCCCCACCTTGGAGACCCTCATTGCTGGCCAGGCTCTACACTGGGGTTCACATTAGATAACACATTCCGGTGAGGGCATCATCCTGGGGACTCCAGAGGAGTTGAATAAACAGCAAGTCAAGGGGATAAGGAATAGTTTAGAGCTAACATGGAGGACATTATTATTATTTGATTAAGTTAAGGGAAGGAAGGTTTAGACAGAAAGCTGTGAAAGCTTCTTAGTAAGATCTAAGAGTTTCTGGAAAAACGCTCAAGGGAGATGCTGGAAGCAAAACATCTGCAAATAAGAACAATAATAAGGCTTCTTGGGTCAGAAGAAGCGCACAGGAGGATGAGATACTCTGTAGCTTACCTGTAGAAGACGTGCCATGTGAAAGGTGAAGATGAGGTGAAAGCTCAAGCCCAACAACCCAACAGCAGGTTGTGTGTTTATGGGAAATGGTTCCAGGTGATAGTGAGTCCTTGGGAGTCACCTGCTCTCCACAACATTACAGTGCTGCCTGATCTTTAGAGGTATTTGTTTTACTGAAAAACCTACAAAACTGTTTGCAAACAGAAAAGATTAGAAATGCGTGCCATATTGTGAATCTGGAGGTTATGTTGACCCTGGAGGTGTTTTTTGGGTGCGAGCAAGTTTCTGATACCGAGCAGAGCACAAAGTAGAACCTTGGAGTAGCTCGGGGCTACACAGCCTTGTAACAGGAAAAAAAAAGTAACAGAAACAGCTGACTTCACCTTTTGCTGTGACTATGTGGGGCAGTCAGCACCAATTTTGAAAACTGCTTGATTTTCTTCCTAAAAATAGCCTTCCGGGTCACTTTTAATCAAGTCCAAACGGCCAACTCCCTGCCTTAGTAATTCTCCGATAAATAAAATTTGACGGGGATACCTTCAAAACCAACAGCCGAGCATTTAAACAAGTTGTCTCAAACTCAGTTCTGACTCCAGCCTTGTAAATCATTGCCAAATATCACTCAGCTTCACGGCCTAATCCTCTGAAGAGGTAGCTAATGCTGTGTAAATCTGTGTCAGGAGGACAACAGCACCTGTGATGTGTTTCAGGGTGACATTTACGGCACTTTAAAGAAAATGGTAACCTACTCAGATCCAAAGTCTGGTCTTGCAGGATTTGAACAGAATATCTTCTGCCTTGAGAGAAAGGGTAGTTATAGGACTCAAGGGAGGAAGTGTACAGGTGCACGATCCAAGGTGGTTTGAAGACCTTGAGAAGATCTGACATTCAGTCATTGTGGGTGAAGCTAGCAAAAATGGGTGTTGGGTGATCTGTATTTGATTAATTTTATTTTAAATCTGTGCATTAATTTTACAGATGAATGAGCTTTCCTTGAAATATATGAGTGTGGAGATCTTGGTTTCTACCACTGAGCATGCTGTCATTGAGCTGTTTTTCTCATACCTCCAGCCTTTCTAGATAGGAAGCTCCAAGGTTTTGTGAGGTTAAGGCCATTTTCTGCATTCAGCTTTCCACCAAAGACAGAGATATGTGCCACAGTGTTAATCTTATAATGATATCTCAATAATGTCTATTATATTAGAGTTTTAAGATGACTTAGTTGAATGGCTGCACATTTGCTTACTGCTATTAGACAAATCCTTCAGCCCTTTCTCCTTATTTAGGCAACATTAAGTCAATGGGGAGAGTGAATGAAAGGAGAAGGCTTTGTCCTGTGTGTTAATGCAACTTCAGAGTACAAGATGTAATCAAGGCTGGTAAGAAATAGGGAAGACAGAAACATTGGAAGCCTTGGTGAGTTTAAGAAGGTTTTGAAGTCAAACCCAGATTTTTGTCTTTAACCGTGAGCATTGACTGAGCAGGCTTGAGGTGAAAGAAGCCTTACTAGTGAATATATGTCAAACCTATAGCATTACTTACTCTAAAATAACTTCTTAGGCATGCCCATGTCATGGGTTCAGATCTTAGAGATGAAAGCAAAGGCTTCACTGGTGATTTTTACCTCCCCAGTGTCTAAGAGTGATAAGACATCAGACTTTGAATCCAGTCTGCCTGTCTGCTGTGATGTTTTTACAGCACACTCACCCCTAAAATGCAGAAGTGTTTATCAAGCCCTTCCTTCAGCATAAGCCGCTGGGTCTGTACACAAGAGGTGAGTTTGTGTCACACCTTGTTAAAGAGTGAGATGTTAAAGCGTGACAGTCAGCCTCTGTGCCACTTCGTCGTCTGCAAATCTGGGCTGTCTCAACCCAGCAGATACCCAGCCTGCTGCATACAGCCCAGGCCTGGTGTCTCTGAGACCTCCTGCCCTTAGGCTTGCTGTCACCCACATGCCACAATAAAGCCATCAATAGGTAAATAATTTAACAAATTGAGCAGCTTTTACAAAGATGCTTAGCTGTGCAGACAGCGCTTGGACATAAATGAAAGCATATTCAGGAGGAAGGTTGCTCCATAGAGGACATGGGCTTGTGACTTAGGGAACCAGGCCTGTCTTATCCTCCTTTATCACTGACATCATGAGTGATGCTGGGCTGGTCAGCCAGCAGCAAGGTTGAGAGGAAAAATCATCCTACCCTAACACGAATAGGAAGATTTCCCACCAGAGCTGGCTGTCTTAACAGGGGAGCCCAGACTTTCCTTTTACATTAAGGACCTATTTTTCATATTGTGGAGAAGAATCCCTACTTTTAGACTTTGCTTCTGTCTTTAAAATGGCAATAAAGAACAAAAAAAAAGCACACAATCAAAGAGTCATGCACATCATTCTTTTAGAGCCTGCTGTATAAAGTCATGTCTATCAGCAATCTAGGAGACTTGTTTCTAATCAGTAAGTTTGAGATCAGTAATTGAATGGTAATGTTAAAGTCTTTTATCTCTGCTGGAAATGGTTAGATCTTACAGGTGCTTTCACCCAGAAAGCCCTAAATTATAACACTTATGTGACTCATCATACTTTCAATAGTGGAAGATACACACACCTTGAGGAGTGTACAGGAAACCTCCAGCATGGTCATCAAAGAGGTAGTTTTGCATTGGAGATCACTTTTCTCATCCACTTTGTGCAAGAGGGTTTCTGTGTGCTTAGTTAAAATAAAACTGACATCCTTGAAAGTCTGTATTTCTATACATTTTGTATTAGTTGAACAAGGGTTTTGTGAGTTGGTAAGAGTTCTGTATATGTGTGGGTGTAAAAATTCCTTTTTTCTGTGTTGGTCTAATTTAATATCTTTCATTTAAGGTGGAGGGTTTTTTTTTCCCCACTGTTCCAGCTGTTTCAAGCTAACCATCTGTTTCTTTTCGGGAAGGAAAGTCAGAAGAGAAGAAAAATGGCAGGACTGTACTAACAGATTGTATTTTTGCTTTGTTTCTCCATTCAGGTCTCTTTAATAAGCCTCGTGGCCAACACACTTGGATACTCTGAGATGGGTCCCATTAAATCCCTCAGGACCCTCCGAGCCCTGCGACCACTCAGAGCCTTGTCACGATTCGAAGGGATGAGGGTAAGAATAGATAAAGCATCTTTCAAAGCTCAATTGTGTGACACGGAGCACGTAACAGGGAACAGTTGCACATGGTTTTGTCTTCATTTTGTCTGCCAAAGGAAATGAATGATAATGCTATATCAAAACAACAAAATCAGAAATCCCTCCTTTGTCTTGATCGCAATTGTATTATTACAGCTTTATCCTCTGGTGGATTTAATGATAAACTAATCCTGCTGCCTAACTTGTCATATTGCGCTTCAAAAAACAGCTTTTTGGCCGAGGAAGCATCTGGCTAACAATTACCTCTCAATTATAAGGTGTATCAGGGGAAAAACCAAGCTGCAAGTTTACTCCCTGCTTTTGATATGTATTAAAATGAGACTGATTGGGAAAGTTCTTAAGGACTTTTTCACTAATAATTGAAAGAAAAATTAGAAATGCTAAAGATAGGGAAAGCAAATGAATGATTATATAAAATCTTTCCTTTGAACAGATTGCAGTTTTAATATGGAATGTCAGGATTAACATTAAAACTATGTGGCTTCTGTTTGTTGATCCATTTTGTGCATCCATGTTTTTCCCTTCTGCATTCCTTTGCTGGCGTGGCTATATCCATACAGCATACTTGTTTATTTGTTAAGCCTAACCGATATGCTAATCAATTATTGTCTAAATAAGCACTTTTATTTAACTCCTTGCACCATGCATGACTTGCAGATGGTGACAACTGTGTTCTGTATGAGCTGAGGTTACTGCTAATCTTGCAGATTGCATAGCAAGGTAAAGCAAATCTGCAACGAAATTACGCGTAAAACAATTCACACTGTTTGATGATCCCTCTATGAGGTCAAAGAAAATGCTACAGCTTTCATACTGAGGTATATTCAGGGTAAAGCTTTCCTGTAGACAAAATTTTGGTCTGAATCATCAGTGACTAAAATGTGTAGTTCATGCACTGAGCTCCTAGCAATTTACGGTTCTTATTGCAATACCCTTGCAGCAAGACAGACTGAAAGCTAGAGAGCCTAACGACTGAGCTCACCCAGGAAATGTGGTGATAGAGCAATTTATGAAAACCCTGTACCGATACTTTGCCAGTTCTGGGGATGACTGGAACTGGGGATCTATGGCTTTGCCCCATAGACCTTGTAATTTTTTAAATCACATTATTTTTGTTGAAGAAGACCAGACAAATCTAGTTGCACGCCACTCTTCTCTGTGCTAGCACTAAGACAAAAAGATTCAAGAGGCTCTATTCACCTGGGCACCTGAACCTAAATTTCTTTGTTCATCACACTCTTTTCAGCAACCATGGCAAAATTTTAAAGCTTATTCCCAAAACAAAACAAAAGCCAACTGCAAATCCTCAGCTAGCACAAAGTGATGTTGCACTACTGACGTTAACTAAAGCTCTCACTCCTATGTCATCTGATGACCTCACTCCAAGTCTTTATTAGATATACGTAAATCGAGCAAACATTGATATCAGCAAAAGCTGCACTAGTTTAACCACCAGAGTGATTTGTGCATGGGCTCTCTTAAATCAATTTAAATCTGGCTTATGAAGGCTTAGCTTCTACTGGTGGATTTGCAAGTTCAGGCGAAACCTCTTTAACATATTCTAAGCTGACATAAGAATGTTCACTCATGACTTTGCATGAGTTTAACTAAATTGGATTCAAACCTGAAAAGCAGTGGGAAGGCTAGCCCAAAGCATTGGAAAAGCGCGACTGAAAAAGGAAAGAAATAACGTGAAATAGTTCACATCTCTATCAAGAGGCTTTCTAGAGCTTTGGTGGATTTCCTACAAGGTGTAGACAGACAGATCAGCCCAGCAAGTTTTCCTCCTAACATGCTCATACTTGCAGGATCCCCTGGTCCCTGACTCAACATCCCTTTTCTTCCTGGTACCATTGCTTCAGCTGAAATATATTCAGTTTATCAGAGGTAGTGAATTAGCTTGTAAGCTATGATAAAGTGTAATTGAGAATACGTGCTATTGGAAAATCAAATCATTTTATTTTTAGTTTGTCTAACCACACTTAACACGACTAGGGACTGTTAGACCTTTCATTATTAGGAGTTCATATGCTCCAAAATGCACAGGAAAATTGCCAGCACAGTGATGGATTAAATAATGATAATGTTGAGAAGCAAACACTGACAGTAAGAAAATAATAATAGTTTGCTCTATCATAATGTCTTTTTCCTGAATAACTGGAAGATTTCTGCAAGGCTAGAACAGGAACAAGTTCTCATTTATAATGCAGTAAGAGACTCATTTCATCGACTCTGTACCTAAATTTGGGAAACAGTTCATCCAGAGGCAAAGGCATAGAGAAGCACTTGGGTGACCAAGAGGACCTGTTACCATCAGACTTCAGTCCTTTCCCTCTCTTCAAACAGGCTGGGACCTGTCTGAGTTTGAGACAGGTTTAAGCAGCTCCCATCCAATGAGAGGTCTGCAAAATAAGGCTGAGCTGTTGTCATCTTGCCCCTCTGTCCCCCAAAAGACCCCAGTAAGACCAGTATCCCACCTGAAAATCAATGCAGACCCTGGGGGTGCCATGCACGTGCCACCGTCCTGCATCACCCACCTCTTTCTAGGCCATATTAGTGCCCAGCGTAAATTAACTTAGGTTTGCCTGTCCCGAATCATGGATTCTTCCCTGTCTTTGTATTTATTGTCCATCAAGTAATTATTTCAGAGGTGTCGCTTCCCTGCAAGTTTCTTTCCAGCAAGGGAGGTTATTGCAGTATTTCAAAAGGATGAGTGGGATGATGATAGACCATTTAATGTGAAAATGATACGAGGCAAAGTCATGGTGAGGCTGCTACAAGATACATGCAGGAAAGAAATAGCATAATTAATGCTAGTTAGCATGATTTCATGGGAATAGTTCTTGTAAAACCGATATGGTCCTTTGATTTGATTACAAATTATGCTGATGACGGTAACTGCACTGATATAATATCCTTAGATTTCAGAGAGGAATCTGATACCGTGGGACATTGTGATGAAAACATGGGCTTTGTACCAAGCCAAGTAAACATATTTTAAATTAATTTAAAATGGGTGATGGATCTTGAAAAGTAATTGTAAACAGCAATGACACTGTAAATTTGGTGATGAGTGTCTCAGGGTGAGGGATCCTTCAGAATAAGAATTGTCCTTAATCTGGATTTTAACAGCATCTGGAAGAAAATATAAAATCTTTGCTGACAACACACAAAGTGAGCGGAGTAGTAAGTGATATTACGGATAAGGGAATTATACTGACTGATCTGGATCACAGTGAAAAACAGATCAATGGTACAACATGCATTTTAATAAAACCACATGCATCGTACACCTCGGGAGGAGGAAAGTAGGTCACTCTGGGGGATGCTTCTTGGAAAACAACAGCTGAGAAGGACTTAGGGATTGGGATGACTGTTCAACAGGACACAAGCTTTTGGGCAGGTCCCATAAATGAAGTGACTAATATAATCCCTCAATACGCAGAGAAGTAACCCAGCAAGCAGAGGGAGAGGGCAGTGCTTCACTACTGGAATTCCACCAAACTGCTGGATGTGGGGTGTTAACAGCAGGAAAATCTCTGTAGAATGATTGGAAAGCATTCATTGGAAGCTCTGGTTTTTTAATTATCCAAAGCAATGTTCAGTGGCAGCTCACCTGCAGTGAAGGCTGGGATGATAGGAGAAGTCTGACACCAGATGACTAATGCCTCAAGTTCAATAAATTCAGCCTAAAAATACAGCACCTGTTCTTAACAGTGAGGGCAAAGGGCACCAGGAAGAAATTATCTAATAAGAAAACTTTTCTCCACCATTTGAAATAATGACTCTGTAAATTAGGCATCTTTGTGAAAGCTGTGCCCAGGTCTGAGTAGGAGTTAAAGCCTGGGCCTGAAATTACTGCAGGAAGTCTGGTGGGCTCTGCTGTGGCAAGGGGAGGATTAACGCATCATGCAAATCCATTCCTGGACTTAAAATCTGAGAAGGTAGCCCATGAGATCAGGAGAGCTGAGTTACCAAATCTATAGGTGGACCACAAGCTATAGATTTGCACCACTGTGACTTAGGACGGAGGGCGACTCTGTTTCTAGGCCATACCTAAAGAAGTCACCTGGAAGGTGGTTTCACCTATAAAGCTATTGATGGAAATCAAGAGGTATGAAACCTTTTCCTGTATGCGGTTATATCTGTTGCTGTTCCTACAGCAACAGAAATTCAGCCCATTTCCATGGCAAGGTTTGCAGCTGAACTTTTACCATGAGTTTATGATAATAACTTGCCTTTATGTATTCAGGTCTTTAAGTCCTCTCACTCATTTCAGTGCAAAGCAGGACACCAAAGGCAACGTGCTGGTGTAAGAGCAGAAGCAGTGGGGGAAGGATGAAACCCCCTGTTAATAATTCATTCGGAGAGGTGTTACAGGATTTGCTCCAGCCTCACGTCGTCTTTTGTTATCTACAAGCCATTGAGCATAATTCAGCAGGAGGCAGGCAGGGCCATCGCTGGTGCTTCTGAAACCTGGATGTCTGTGTCCTGTCACAGGGCTTGTGGGTGGGAGTTGGGTTCAACAGAATATACCACATAAGTGCAGTGGCTTTGTGCTGGCAAGGATCAAAATCCAACAAAAATATTGTCCCACAGAGCACCAAATGAAAGCTTCAACAAGGGCTGAGGCTATATCCAAATAAGCCCTTGATTAGAAAATTATTTGTCATTTTTGGTTAACATGATTATTTTGCTCTTAAAACAATGAAGTTAGAAAGTGATTAACATCCAAAACTAAGCGATAAAATTAGGAAAAAAAAAAAAAAAGAAAGAAATTGAGAAGTCATCAGGAATGGGCTTATACAGAAAAAAAATATATATATAAAAAAAAATTGGTCAAGCAGCTTTTCCTGTGTGCAAATTAGCTTCATTCATAAATGCACAAAATATAAATCTACATAATTTTGTATTGTATATTGTAGATGAAGCCATTGCTATACATGCATGAAAACCGTTTCACTCTTCCGGGTGTTTTTCTTCCTCAGCAATGCAAAAATGATGGGGAAACGAATGTTATGTTATTAGCTTGTCAGAAAATTGGATACTAATATGAGAGAAAACAAGAGCTGACATTTTCCATAATCAGATTCACAATTGAATAAAATTTAATTTTTATGGATCAATATCACCTTGTCTCAGTTTCAGAAATGTGGATGGATAAGAGGAAGAGCCTAGTGTCTGCCTACCAGATTTTAATCTCAAAAACATGAGACAGAGATGGAGACAAATTCATATAGTGGGGCTGGTGTCCCCAGAAATGCTACCAGGCAGCTTTGCCTGGACTGTGCGTTGGCAGAATCTCCAAAAGCTGTGAATATGGAGAAACCATGCTGACATAGGAAGGGGGAAACTCCATTTTGTAGTAGCATTCTTGCCTCAGAAAATGTATGGTTTTACACAGGGGTTTGCAGCCCTGCCTGGGTTGGTGTGTAGGAACTTGGCAACATGTCATGAAAAAAGAATTATGCTTTTTTTTGTTAAATTAGAATGGTTTCACCATTTTAATCATGCATACTCAGCAGACAGGGGAAGTTGGTTTTGTACATTATGCTTCAATCAGTTATTATTTAAATAAGCAAAATATGTCACAGCTAGAGCTCACATCCTAAGGACTAGGGAGGCCTGAGTTCACTAAAAGATTTCAGAAATCTTTTTTGGTCTAGTTTGAGAAGATCCTGTGATGTACCCCAGCCATTTCCAATTAATCATATGATTTTTAGGTCCTGGAGTGTATTATCCAGTAGGATCTGAGAGGTCATGATGACTTCACAGATTGGTCCTGAATTAAAAGAATGGTCTTGATGCCAATGGATGACCTCTTCAGTTACAGAAGAAAAAATAATAATGTGTGAAGTCTTTAATGGTGGTCTGACTCCTTAGGTAGCATTAGTAGTTATCCACCTGTCACCATGTTCAGCCAAGTTAATCAAGATTGCACAACAGCTTGTTAGCGAAGTCTCTATGTAAGTGCTGGCATTAACTCTTGTTTTTCTCTCCTGTTTCACCCAAGGTGGTGGTCAATGCCCTCGTGGGAGCCATCCCTTCCATCATGAATGTTCTGCTCGTCTGCCTCATCTTCTGGCTCATCTTTAGCATCATGGGAGTGAACCTCTTTGCTGGGAAGTTTGGGAAGTGCATTAATAAGACAGAAGGAGATATGCCTTTAGACCCTAAAATTATTAACAACATGAGTGACTGTATACTCTACAATGTGTCGGGCACGTTTTACTGGACGAAAGTTAAAGTTAACTTCGATAATGTTGGTGCTGGGTACCTGGCTCTGCTACAAGTGGTAAGTGTGACCACCAGAAACTAATGGGCAAATGTTGCTTTTTCCTGTTGAAATCTTTAGCTTATAGGCTCAGGTTAACCTCTATACTTTTCTGGGGTTTTCTGCCTTACACATCAGGGGAGTGCCTTTCCTCAAGTGTAAATGAGTCATATTTGGCATATTAATTTGGCCTAGAGATATTTATAGCAGCTTCTGGTTTTAATTTGAGTTTCTGGTCCATCACTAACGTAGTCCTCAGGAGGTGATTGGACTATTGAGGTGAATTTAAGATCATTTTGTCAATATTGTAATCTGCAGCAAAGTTCAGTTCCAGCAACAACAAGTCATGGTCCAGGAAGGACCATTCGTGCAGAAAGAGTTTACTGGCGTTCATCTCCTGGGACGTCATTTCCTGGGACTTCCCTATACCCTGCTGGGAAAAATAAAGTTACAATACCTTCAGTTATTCAGCTGAAGTTATTGCATAAAGTTGGAGTCACAGAGACAGCTTAATTTACGGTCCTCTGCTCAGCTTCCGTGGAGATGTTTGAGAAGGATACTGGTGCCTCTAGTTCTGGTTCCTCACCTCATTTCCACCTTCTAAAGATAACGAGTCAGGTTGAACATAACTATGAAATGTGGTGGTGATCAGATTGCTGTATCTCCACACAGCCTGGTCTCTCTGGAAAAGTGGCGAGAACATACCAGAGAAAAGACGATTGAGGTTCAAAGATGATGGTGCTATTTAATCTGTAAAGACAAACGTAAGCCACTTTTACAGCCTTTTTCAGCAGCAAATGTAAACCATGGATAAACAGGTTGTATGCACTGAGATTTACTGTGCCATGATTCAACAAAACCTATTGGATGGAGCCACAGGAGACTCCATCATCTTGTCCAGGCTCTGCCACCCGACTGCTGAGTGATTTTAGACAAATTAGTTTGTGTTTCAAGTCCATGGGGCCACCATGTAAAATAGTGGTAATGATACTTATTTCCATTGTTCCTAATTTACTCTGAAGCCTAGTGATGACCAGGGCTGGATACGCACTAGAAGTGTTTGTTGTGTTGCATTTTCTGTACATTGAGTGAAATTAGTCCCTTGCTACATCCTTGGACAGGGAGGCTGCTGTCTCGAAGAGCCATTGATGGCATTCCTTGCTCCTGGGAAAAAAAACTTGCATGCTGGGAGCTCAACTCAGTTGTAACATATAGACATCCACCCTTTGCAATGTGATAAGGTATGGCCCCAGGCCCCCAGCTGCTCTTCCAAGAGGGCATGAACCTCCCACACGTAACCCATCAGATTTGCCAACGCTTCTCCTTCCTGTGATGCAAATTTGCTTTCTTCCAGATCTTTTTTTCTTTATTACAGACACATGGGATAGCTCCATGAAGTAGCTTTCCTTTCTCATTGAAGTGCTTATTCATATACACTCTGTTCCTGATACGCATACAGTTGAGTTTGAGGTCTTCTGACTGCCGTCCGTCAAGTCTTTTCTTTCATATCCTCTGGAAAGCAGAAAGGTTAGAATGGACACAACCAATTCTGGTCCTTTCCATGACACAAAGCTGAACTTGCTGAGAGCAAGAGCTTTTATCTTTTGCATATAATTATGATATTCAGCTCACCCATGCAGGGTCGATTAATTCACTTTGAATGTCTTTAATTAGATTTTCTGTTCTATATACTGCTTTCTTTGTCTTTTATTTAAACACCCAATCTGGTTCAGTAAAAATTTCCAGTTTTAAAATACTATGCCTCACCTGAAGCTTCTTGTCGCCTCAATGACTCCGTAACAGATGCCTAGTTTATTTGGTGGGAAAAGAAAACCATCAGAGTATTAGTTATTCTTTCACTATTTCTTTTATAAGACTCAAAGCTCCAGCTTTCCAAAAATCTGCAACTTTTCATAAATTGGCACTGTCTAAGGAGTATCCTGAAGCAGTCTCTTCTACTGTTTGCAGTATCAATTCCTGGGCACTTGGCACTGGTGATACTGGCTGCATTCAGCAGGTGGGACTGCCTTCTACTGGGATCGGTGACGGTCATAAGGTGGATTTCGGGACATTTATGAAAGGACGATCTAGCACTTCTGTTTTCCAGCTGGAAATGGACTTGATGACCCTGCAGGTTTCTTTCAAACCTGTGACCCTGTATTAGGTAGCAGAGAAGTAGGTTTTCTAGTCGCAGAAGTACAAAAGAAGTACCATAAATGTAGAGTCTGTGCAGGCTGGACAAAGTGATTATGGCAGGAAATCACGGAGCCCTAAAACCTTGCTTAGCTTCTATGGCACATGCTGGCTCCTGCTTCCAGGAGGAAGGGCAGGAGCCAGATGACATCAGAGGACTGATTTGAGCTTTCATCCTGCACCCGGAGCTCTTATGTCTGCTGCTAACAGCAGACTCAGGCAATAAAGTGTAAAGATGACACCCACAGAGAAGTGGCTCAAACATCTGGATCTCCTTTGCCCGACTCCAGCCGAGGAGTGTCGGTTACAGGTGCTCCTTGCCAAATACACTCCATATGGGGTCACATTTCATGAGCAAACCACCGCAGGAATTGCAGAGGATCAGTTAACAGCTCAGCTCTTCTAAAGAGACAGAAAGATCCATGCATCCTTGTGCACGCTGAGGCACTGCACAGCAATGATGAGATAAGCATTTCGATTACAGCCCCCCGGGATCCAAAAATATGAGCTTTTAAGTGGGGTTGGCTTTTGACTGTTGACATTTTCAGCTGCTTCAATGCACTCTTTAAGTGACTCCAATATTACCTTTGGATGCCTGAATGTGTCTGAAAATCCAAATGGAAATATATAAAACAAATCTTTCTGCTAAATGTTCTGTCTTCACTTCTACAGCATCCTTGAAAGAAATTAGAAGTTGCTACTACAAGAAACTTTAAGGCTTACTATTATCCAGAGCCAAACTGTCTGACAATGTAGTTGAGAACTGCATGAAACTTTCCCCAAATATCCTTTGCTCTTTTCCTACCTTGTTTAGGATACATCAGGTTGTTCTGAAGATGCCACTTCGAATTAATGAGTCTGCGAAAACATTCGTGTGAAGTGGTCAGTCAAGTTTTAACCTTCTCCAACTAGCAAGAGCACTATCTCACAACAGATTACTAAAATAGGAGGTAGTCTCTGCTCACTCTAGAAGTGAGAGAAATGCCTCATTCACAAGGAGGAAAAGATCTTTATTATCATGACTTTTTAATTTGCAAGAAGGATGATTCACACTTCTGGGGATTTAACACCCTTAACACCCTAATCTATGAGAAAAAAAGTATTGCTGCAACCCAGTGCTTCAGTAATGCTTTTTCTAGATTCCCAGAATTGCTTTGCAGATCACAGCACCTATATTCTATAAATTTGTATTTGAGCTGAACAAAGAAATATCTCAAATTTCAAGTAGGAGTTTTGCATTTCCCTTGCAGAATCCTTCCCTTCGTGTCATGATCACCCCCACATATTTTCTGCAACGCATCTTGAACTTTCAGCAATCTGTTGAAGAATACCAAGAAAACAAGTGGTCCCTCACATACTATCTGGTTTGCTTGGAAAAGTTCTCCTTAGACAGGAACAGACTTACATCTAATATGTCCTACAATGCTTTGTTGCTCTGGTACTCCAGATAAGGAATGGGAAGATAACAGTGGACCAGTAGAGCAATCAGGAGCTGTAGAGTTAAATCAATCCCTCATGCCAGGTTCAAAGTCATGACTGAGCTTGTAAATCAGTTCTTGCTTTCCGAAGTTTCTCTCACTAACAGTAATGCTTTTTTTACACAAGGAGCACTGTGTCCAGTTCTGGGCTCCCTGGTTCAAGAGGGACAGGGACCTGCTGGAGAGGGTACAGCAAAGGGCTGCAAAGGTGATGAGGGGACTAGAACATCTCTCTTACGAGGAAAGGTTGAGGGACTTGGGTCTTTTTAGTCTGGAGAAGACTGAGGGGAGATCTGATCAATGTTTAAAAATACTTAAAGGATGGGCGTCAAGAGGACGGGACCAGTCTTTTTTCAGTGGTGCCCAGTGACAGGACAAGAAGTAACAACAGGTACGAAGTTGTACGTAGGAAGTTCCATCTAAACATGAGGAGGAACCTCATCACTCTGAGGGTGGCAGAGCCCTGGAACAGGCTGCCCAGAGAGGTGGTGAAGTCTCCTTCTCTGGAGACATTCAAAACCTGCCTGGACACGTTCCTGTGCAACCTGCTCTTATGTGGATATGCTCTGGCAGGGGGGTTGGACTAGATGATCTCCAGAGGTCCCTTCCAACCCCATAGCATTCTGTGATTCTGTCATTCTGTGATTTCACAGAAGACCAGTATTTGTGCCATCAAAAGCAGCCATTTTTGTTACACTATTGCAGAACTTTTCGGGGGGGGGGGGGGGGGGGGGGGAGGAGGCTCTTTTTATTTTAAGGCACCATTTGTTTATACAATAAATGATTTGAGGGCAGCTAGTGCCATCCCACCTATCCTTCTCCCACCAATTCACTGCATTGCAGCTCTAACCACCAGTCAAATAACAAAATGTAATCCCATCCCAAAATGAGTTTATCGGTAGATAATCTCATCACATGACAGTTTCAGTAGAAAATGGTGTTTCACTGGATGGTTTCCAGGCAGGATAATATCACAAACACTCCCATGAAGATTTTGTCACTTCCTTATCCAGAGTGCAAGTGGTTACTAATTCCAGATAAATAATTTCTTTCCCCAGTGTTATATTTCTTTCATTCTCAGTATCTTTTACCCTCTGCAGATGAAGTGTCTAGGGAAGCTTTCCAGAAGCCCTGTGGATTTTTAATTCTCTTACTTCTGGACAACTGGGAAACACAGAAAATCACAGTACTTCATTCTCTTAATATTTATTTTTGTCAGATCACTTCATCATCTGTTAGCACTATAAACCACTGCGCCTTGCAGCAGAGTCTCTCGTGTCTGTGGTGCACATCGAGGGGTAAAATAGCTACTCAAGAGAAAAGATTTCCTCCCAAGTGGGAGAAGAGTACAGGCTAAGATCATATCATTTTGTGTCACAGGGAACAGATTTCTTGTTTCATCCTGTCCAGCACCCCTGAACAACTCTTTGAACTGGAAGCTGCAATCAACTGTAACAACACCAGGAAATCTTTCATCAGATTAGAGAGAGAACAGCAGAAAGGGAAAATATTAGAACAGTTAAGGAGGATCAGCATGACACGTTCAAATGATTTGTTTCAATAAAACTGCTGATCATTCCCATAAACACTTTACATCCAAAGCGTTTTTTAACACAGTACCATGGAATAGATTTTCCAAAGGATTCTGATTTGGGGAGTTTAATCTCTTTCAACCAGTAGACAAAAATGAATGCAACCTTTCAAACATTATTTAATATAAACTTTCCTGAAAAATATGGTTTACCTCTTGTACAACATTTTTCTTTGGCTCAGTAACCTTCAGAGGGAAAGGAGAAGGCAGCACTACCTCCAGGATTTAATTTAATAATAGAGAGTGTATAATTGAACATTTCTAAAACCACTGGATCTACCTAGCTCAACACAAATACCTGGATTTCTCCTGGGAACCACTGGCCAAATTCCTATCAGTGTTATCTGGAATTGTGTGCCTAAACACCAGGAGAAAATTCAACCTAAGTGTCAGTAGGATGCAAAAAAATACTGGCCGTGGGTCTTTCATGCACACTAGTATAAAGCTGATTAAAAAAAAACAAATCAAAAAATGCCTTATTATCTGCTAACACTGATTTTAAATCCAGAGTAAGTCTAAATGGGTCAGAAGTCAAATGAGAAAGAACCCCAGAGAACTAATAATTGAGAAGCATATATGGAGAGCAAAGAGTCATGTTTTTGCTACGGAATAGTAAAAATTGCTCATTTCTCCTAGCAATATTGTCACTGCCCTTTCTCCATGGCAGGTTCCAGTAAGAGACGCTGGCTTCTGTGGAAACTCTCCTTGTTGAAACAAAAAAAAAGAAATTAAAAACCTTGATTTTTTTAAAAAAAATAAAATCTGAACAGTAGAGCAGATTGAGTTTCCAAGGTCAGGCTCACAGCAGGTGTTAATTGCCTTTACTCCTTTCAAGTCAGCTGTGATTTATCTGCCTTCCTAGGCTTTGACATTTGCCTTGATTTACCCTGTTTTAAAAGGGGGCAGTATCCAAGCTTCAGTGGGATGCTACAGTGAAGGAATGTGGATGGGTTCCATCTCACCTGGTCTGAGACTTGCACAGGACAGCAAGCACTCTTTGTGTTGTGTACCTGTGTCTCTTCATTACTTGAAATTCTTAAGGTCAAAATTTCCAAAGATTTAATTGCCATGCTTTCTCTCCTCTTTAAAATCTCTTTAAAAAAACTCTGTTTTCTCTCTACAACTGCAGAAAATCAGAAAACATGAAAGAAAGATTCTAGAAGAATACCGTTCTGGATTGAATTTAAATGTCTAAATGAGCATACATTCACATATAGATATTGCTTTAAAGGAGAGGCAATTCATTAACTGTGAAAAGCGTGCTCAACATTGCATTTTGCAAGCTCATCACAAGGATGATATCATAATTTCAAGATATGCTTGTTGTATACGCTTAATTATGTATTTTGTGTGATGTTTTTCAGGCCACATTTAAAGGTTGGATGGATATTATGTATGCAGCAGTGGATTCGCGAGAGGTAGGTCACATCGAGGAAATTAATAATTTCCTTTTCCAATGACTTTTGTAGCATTCACAATGTTTAACAGCTACAATTTAAAAAAAAATACACGCATGTTGCCAGTCCCTGTCTTACTCTGGTTGAGACAGTTGCAGACCTTTATTTTTTGCAGCTGGTACTGAAGCATCACGACCCTGAGATTAAAACAAATGTAGCCCTCAGTTCTACACAACTGATTTATCTATTTGTACTGCAAAACTCCCAGCACAGAGCAGCACCTCCAGGGTGAGACTGAGTCCACCAAAACCCTAAATTGTACTCTCCGTTTCTTCCACTCTCCCTGTCGACTGCCATATTTTCCTCGGATCTAAATTCTGATAACAGAACCCCTTTAAAAGCACTGGGTTTAAATTATATACATTTTCCTTCCTACATTACATGTGATTGGTAACTTTTTATTGAATGACCTGGTGGCTCCTTTCCCTCTTTTAATAATATTAAAGGAATAAGATTGCACATGCTATTAGTTCTTGAGGTACCTGTCAGGTACTGGGACTTTGACAGGCTGACTTGAGTAACAAGGAGTCGAGCCCTAAATGGAAGAATAAGGGGTGGAAAATGGCATCATAGGGGCAGAGAGCTGTGTTTGCATAAGTCGTGGCGCTGGTTTATTCTTGATAAACCAAGTACATGCATAGTATCCTTGATGCTGAATGAAATGTGTGGGTTACACACAAGAAAATACAGTATTTAGAGAAATGCAAGCTCCTGGCATCTTGGTTAGACACCTGGAGCTGGTGGGGCAAATCTGAGCAGTTTTGCCAAACCTGATACCTGTGATTTGAGGCTATCAGACTGTGTTGCTCAGCCCTTCAGCAAGAGATGTTATTAGTTTCTACTCTTCGTAAAAGAAAGATTGTGTTTCTAAACACACTGACTCTCAATACAGTGTTTTTCAGTAGTATTTAATTATACTGCCATCATACTTTTGCTTTTTATAAGTACCATTACGTCATGTAAGATTAGGGATAATCAGAAAATTGATTCTTTTCCCCTTCTGGGTTCAGGCTGAGAACATTTTATAGGATTTATTCTGAAGTTGCACTTTCTGAAGCAGTGTGGTTGCTGTGACAGTGTTGTGAAATGCAGCTGAAATGACTGTGGCGTTGCAGATGCCAGTAGTAAACTTCAGAGACCAAGGAGAGCTGACTCTGCTAATGGGGGTTGCACTGTTTTTCCTGTTTCATAATCTTTATTGCCAATGGATAGTTTTCTTTCGACTGCATTAATATTGTGATGCGTGCAGAGATGGTGTCATTTTCACCTCTTCCCTTTTCCCTTTGCAGTGCGAGGAGCAGCCTGAGTGGGAATGTAATTTATACATGTACCTGTACTTTGTGATTTTCATCATCTTCGGGTCTTTCTTCACATTGAACCTCTTCATCGGTGTCATCATTGACAATTTTAACCAACAAAAGAAAAAGATAAGTAGTGCATACACCACACGTCACCCTGTGATTGCTGCGGAGACCAGGACAAGGGACAGAATTATAGGCAGCAGTTTTGCCACATTAGCCTTGAGATTGGTTTTGACAGAAAAGCCACAGAAACTGTTTTGCAGGACTTTTACATGAGCACAATTGTAGCAGCCCCTAATCTCCCCATAGGGTGAGCGTCCTGAAAATACAACCTGGGGGATTATATCCCCCCCCAGAAAGCAGTGAAGCAGCTCCACGCAGGTGGGATCGCTGGCACAAACTCTGCTACAGAGACACAGACCACCCTGGTGTCCCTCGTGCACAAACACCACCATCTTTTGGAGGGGTGCAACCTGTTGTCCTCAACCCATCACCTCCCCACCCCAGGGTGCAGCCAGGGCCAGAGAGGAGCAGCCCAAGAGCTGTGTTTCTCACTGCTTTGCAGGCTCTAAGCAAAGGGCTGAGTTCTGATATTTTCCCTTCTCACCCTGGACCTACCTCAAGTGCAGACAGAACCTGAGTCTTGCTCCTCCTCTGTTCTCTGCACTGCTCGGTGTCTCCTGCCCTTCATTTCCATGCAATAAGCAGCTCCCAGCACTGCATCTCTTCAAACCCTTCTTTGATATTTTGGTGAAAGCTACATGAAAAAGGAAATAAGAAAATCAAAGAAGATGCAGCCCTGAATTTTGGATGGAGGCAAAGGAGCTCTTTTCATCAAAAGTAATAGCTTTTTTCTCACCCTATACTTAGGTGGCCAAGACATCTTCATGACAGAAGAACAGAAAAAGTATTATAATGCCATGAAAAAGCTGGGCTCTAAGAAACCTCAAAAGCCAATCCCAAGGCCATTGGTAAGAATTATGTGAGCTGGATATTTATCTAACAGAATGAATGCAATTCAACTTCCCAGTGTAGGAAGGGTGATCACTCCCAGGTAAAAGCCACTTTGTATTTACAAGTTTTGATTTTGGACAGTATTTGCAAGTGCAGTGGCCTCTGTGGTAGAGAATTCCCACTGTTCTGCCATATTGACTGAAAGTCCAATTTACGTATGCAGTCGTGGCAGTGGCCACATGCCTGCATTGAATGAATTCATGGCCCCAGTCCAAGGTCTTTCTTTCAGTAGTTCCAAGAAGCATTATGAGTAAATGGGTTTGAAAACACTGTCATCCAGCCATTCGTCATCATCTTTATGAAATTCTAATCGGCAGCAGTACATTGTGTGTTTTCCTCTACTTTCTGATCAATCAGGAGATTGTAACATTCAGCTTTTGACATGTTCAGATTTCCTAACTAAATCTTCTTCTTTCCTCCAGAATAAATACCAAGGTTTTATTTTTGATGTTGTCTCAAAACAAGCCTTTGATGTCTCCATCATGATTCTCATCTGCCTTAACATGATCACCATGATGGTGGAAACGGATGACCAAAGTCAAGAAAAAGTGAACATCCTCCATAAAATCAACATGCTTTTTGTTGCCATCTTCACTGGGGAGTGCATCATCAAGATGCTGGCTCTGCGACACTACTACTTCACCAATGGCTGGAACATATTTGACTTTGTCGTCGTGATTCTCTCTATCGTAGGTAGGTGAATCTGAATTTTCACCCAAACTCCAAAGTTAAAAAAGCAGACATAAATTTGAGCAGAAAAAGTTGAAGGCTTCATGCAATAAAATACACTTTCAGCTCAGAGAATTAGATCCTAAGCATTTTTTTAAATGTTTAAATAATACATCATAATATTGCCTAACAATAACTTGTGTGATCAGTGAAATGATGAGGTTTGTCACACCACAGTATGGGTTTCAATGTACAATTAGTGGTTACTGGTGATAAAACGTGGTCCGGAACCAGCACCATACCCTCAATCCCAGTTCTCAGGTGGGTCATAGCCAAAAGCTGCAGATATCTGTGTCCTGTCTGAGTCGATCCTGGTCTCTCATTCCCAACAGACAAACTTTCCCTTAATAAAACTGCCACTACCGTCGACACTTTTCCTCATAATTTTAACAAAGTTTGCATGGATTAAATGGGCATGAAAACACCAAAGATGATACTATTCCCTTTATCGTGGGTCTTCCAATCGAGGGAACTTTTCATTGATTTTTTTCCATAATCCTTTCTGATTGTTTTAAAGGGAATCCTGGGTTATTTCCCATGTACTAACTCGCTCTTTGTCTCTCTTCTTTTCAAGGCACCGTACTTTCTGACATCATCCAGAAATATTTCTTCTCTCCCACGCTCTTCAGAGTCATTCGCTTGGCTCGCATTGGCCGAATCCTAAGACTCATCCGAGGAGCCAAAGGAATTCGAACTCTCCTGTTTGCCTTAATGATGTCCCTACCTGCTCTGTTCAACATTGGCCTCTTGCTTTTTCTGGTTATGTTTATTTATGCCATTTTTGGCATGGCTAACTTTGCCTATGTTAAGAAGGAGTATGGGATTGATGACATGTTCAACTTCCAAACCTTCGCTAACAGCATGCTCTGTCTCTTCCAAATCACCACGTCAGCTGGCTGGGATGGTCTGCTCAATCCCATTTTAAACACCGGACCACCGTATTGTGACCCAAACCTTCCCAATGCAAATGGTTCAAAGGGAGACTGTGGAAGCCCTGCCGTAGGGATTTTATTCTTTGTAACTTATATCATTATATCGTTTCTCATTGTTGTAAACATGTATATAGCTATTATTTTAGAGAACTTCAGTGTAGCCACTGAGGAAAGTACAGAGCCTCTAAGCGAGGATGATTTTGATATGTTCTATGAAATCTGGGAGAAGTTTGACCCTGAAGCCACTCAGTTTATTGAGTATTCTGCACTTTCAGACTTTGCAGATGCGCTGTCAGAACCTTTGCGCATAGCGAAACCAAACAAAATCAAACTCATAGCAATGGACCTGCCCATGGTCAGTGGAGACAGGATCCATTGCTTGGATATTTTGTTTGCTTTTACAAAAAGGGTGCTAGGAGAATCCGGAGAGATGGATGCCCTTAAAATACAGATGGAAGAAAAGTTCATGGCGGCGAATCCGTCTAAGATCTCTTATGAACCGATTACAACAACTCTCAGGCGGAAGCAGGAAGAGGTCTCCGCCATCGTCATCCAGCGGGCCTACAGGAGACATTTGTTTCGGCGCTCCATGAAGCAGGCATCTTACTTGTATCGGCACAGAACTTTTGACGGCAGCATCCTCGAGGATGATGCACCCGAGAAGGAGGGTCTTATTGCGTTCATGATGAACGAAAACTACGGCAGGCCAATAGACAAATCAGAAACTCTGTCCTCCACGTCTTTCCCTCCATCCTACGACAGCGTCACCAGAGGCACGAGTGACAATCTCCAGCTGAAGATGACGGACTCGAGCAAAAGTGATGAGGCTATAGATTGTCTTCTCTCGCCGGACAAGGATAAAGAATCAATTGTTTAATTGTTTGTTTAGAATGCTTTAAAATATTGTTTACAGAATGTAAAGCTGTAACTACACAATGATTGAAGCAGCCTTCTTATTAACAATTAGTTGCAAAATGAAAAATGGAGTTTTTACCCTTAACTACAGGAGTCTAATAAGTCATATAACCTTTGACCCTGCTCTTTTTGACTTGGCTCAATATTTATATTTATATATGCACAGGAAGAAACTTTGCAGGGTCATAGCTGTTATATCAATGGTGTGAATAAGAATATGCTAGACTGTAAAACAGTAAACACAGTGTATATCTATCCACAGATAAAGCCTGGCTGTATACATTCATTTAAGGTCTTACTCATATTAGTGTGTTTACTTATGGCAATGTATGACCTTGCATTCTAAAAAGAAAAAAAAAATATCACAGCTGCTGTAGCAAAATGTAACACTTACTGTATATGTTGTGAATGGTCTTTCATAAATTTATTATATTTGATATTTTTTTACTTAAAAAAAAAAAAGTCTCTTTTTCCATGGAGATTAATGATCCTTACACTCTTCATGATGAACTCTGAGTCAAGGTAATAGGAACTTGCGGGATTCCCATCGTTTGAAGAGGAAAGTTGTTGCAAAGTAAACTATCAAATGAGCAACATTTTAACTGTTTATTACACTAAGCCCTCCCTCTTGGGACTTGCAACTGCTCATCAGCAGAAATACAAAGAAAAAAAAAAAAAGAGAAGGAAATAATGTCAAAATAATGAGAGAAATGGCTTGTTCTATCCTTCAGGAAACTAGACAGTAATGGATTCTGTTTGTAAAACTGTTAATAAAAGCACTAATTTTTTAGTATGTTTCAAGAATCTGCTTTGAATACCACAATCAAACTCGCCATAGAAGTAGTGCATCACATTTGTGTGTAGTGCTCCAAAGCACCATCTACGCTGGCAAAGTTTCTGTTAAGGTAGTGGGGTAGGATATGTTTTCCCCAGGAACACTGAGCTAAGCAGCCTTATTGGAAATTCTGAGCATCAATATTACTCCAAAAATAATACTAATACTACTAATAATAATAAAACCAAGGTCAATTGGATCGTGCAGAGTGGCTGTGACAGTGTGATCAAGAAGGTGGGAGGGGAATTGCTTCTGGATCTGTATGTAAATTTTGAGGTTTTGAATCTTTTCTACTCAGTGTCCATCTTTCATTTTCTCAGATGGTACAGTTAAATTATTGAGGAAGGACAAGAAACACAGGAACCAACAAAAAGAATCTACTAGAAAATAGATATATCCTTGTTTCTATAGGCAAAATTAATATTTACAGTTGATGTGTCCATCAGCTTCAGGCCAAAGAAATGACAATGGGGTGAAAGGTGGATGTGTGGCTGTACATACTAACATAGATTATTATTTATTATTAAACTTTCAGCCTCGATAGAATGTGAGAAAGCATTTATGGAATATAGAGACAAGTCCATCATTACAGACAACTTATTTCTTTTTCACTTTCAGACTGATTGTATTTGGGTTTGGTTGGGCTTCATGGAAAATCCTGAGATTTCTGTAATGAGCCATTGCACTTTAAGGAAGAGTAATTGTGCTTTTCACCTTGGAGAAGCAAAGATATCAAGAATGTATTTAAGGTGTATTGTCACTGACATTTAGTTACATCCCAGGTTGTAAAGGGGTCAAAACCCACATGGAGTTGGCAACAAGAATTAAAACAACATGTTACAGTCAAGTTTATCTACGGCCATTGTTATCTGTCCTCTAAACAAGCCAGAATATGTAAAGACAACATGTCAAAAGGACAACGATGTATCTGTGTAAATACGGGCTAATATATTCTCTCCATTCATTGAGAGGTGTCTCAGGCATTCACTTGAGAGTGGTCTATCGGTTAATTCAGAGGATTTGCCATCAGGATTCCTGGGGTCTATTCCTGATCCTTACTACACGATTTTTAGGCAAATAATTTAACCCATCTGTGCCTCAGTTTACCCATCTGTAAAATGGGGATAATAATACTTACCTACCTCACAGGGGTGTTGTAAGACTTTCTGGTTGCAAAGTGCTATAAGGGAATGAAACGTACTATATAAGTATTATTATAATCATGCTCTCTTGCCCTTTTAACCCCATGTCTATGGTGTATAACATAGGGCTGTTCCTCTGGAGATTTTGTTGCCTTTAAATCTTGTATGTAATTAGATTCTAACTTGAGGGAACTACTCTGCGTTCCTTAAAGTGAAAACACTAATTCTTTCCTCCCTCCCCATCCCTAACTGCCCCCCCCCAAAAAAAAAAAATTGCTCAAGGCTTCTCAAATTAGAGAAACTTTATACAGATTCCCTGTGTATTTATGCTGTAATATTATTCTGACTGTACATATCACCCAGAAAGAGTATGCGATTTTTATATTTATATGCATATATATATATATATACACACATACCTATATCTATACATACATATGTATCTTGTGAGTTTATAGAGTGGCTGACACTCAGAGGACACGACTTACTGATTAAAATGTTTTCTTCTCAATGGGATTTATTGATCATTAGCAACAAGCTATTGCCTATAATGAAAGCGTTTAATTAGAAAATCGTACATTCATTGCTCGCTGAACAAGCATTTATTGGCTGGCATCTGGTAAAATTATTTTCCTTTCACAGCTTTAGAATTAAAAAAAGAGGGAAAAGTACTAAGAAAAAGAAGCATTTCTTATGTGATTTTTTTCACATACAGTATAAACTGTTCAAAACCCAAGAGAAAGCCCAGCCTGCACTCAGCAGTGCAGTGTTGGTCATGCTGTTTTAAAAATATTTTGATTATTTGCGATTTATATTAGAAAATATTCAACTGATATTCTTATTAAGACTCAGGTCCAGTAATGAATGGGATGTAATGGGACGATTAGCTGGTCACTGATTATGTTGGAGAAGAGCTCTTCCTCTGGTCATTTCACCCTTGAGTTGAACATTTTATTGTCCTTACTGTGAGACCCTATGGTACTGATGCAATTACAAATGGTTATGTCACCTACTCAAAAACCTGTAAAAAAAATCATAATGCAAAAAAAAATTCTGAAAGAGGGTCTTAACTGTAGATGTTTACAGTGCAACTTTCTAAAACTGAAATGTAAATTACTTTCAAAACCTTTGTAACTGGAAGGTTGAGTTTCTATTGGGTTTTCTATTGTTTTGTGGGACATTTCTTTGGAGCTGAAGAGGGAATGGTATCTTTGTATGGGTTGCAGAACTCCTCTCAAAAACTTCAAATAACCTCACTCACAGATCTTTATTAATGGAGATGTCGATCCAAATCTAGCAGTGATACAACCTCCCAGTGCAGTGATTTAGTTAAAGACACTAACTCAATAGTTGGCCCACACTGTCTATAAGCATGGTGAGTGCTGCCATTTTTTCTGTTGATTTGTTCAATAAAAGCTACCACGTGAATCACTCAAGCTACGAAAAGAGCAAGGAAAATATCAGCCAATATCATAGGACATATTAAGCTGTTTGTACCTGGAAAAAAATCAAGTTTATTATGTTTCTTTATTAAATAAATAAGGATAACAAATATTTCCTGTGCCTTATTTTTTTTTTTTCTTTTATTTTATCAACGTTTGTTATGATTGCTTTGACTCTGTCTCAGCACATCTGTTTGGAAGTGCACAGTGACTTTTGTTAGAAGGTCTGTCAATGAAAACCCCTCCAGATCATCTTGCACAGTAAGGCTAACTACAAGGCATTAAAGGATTTAGCAAAGCTTGTTGAATATGATGGAGAATTTCTGGGTACTTCAGATGAATTTGAAGCAGACCCAAAAGCTTTGCTTCAAAGATAGCAATTTATTGGATGAGCCCAGCATTGATATTTCAAGTCATCCTGCCCAGTAGAATTAGATGGAAGAGGAAAGGTTTTACTGCAAACATGGGATCCCACCTAGAGATTAAAATATATACATATACAAAAACAAGATTTTTCTTAACAGCAATATGGTTATTTTCCCATTTTGATTATATTGAATTGCATTTGGGTTATTATTTTATTAATTATATGTTAAAATTCATACTAAGCAAAGCTTAACATCCTTCACAATGCACACATGTCTTAGTTCTGGAAGGAGCTTCAGAGAGGACACGGATGACCCTTAGCTGTTATCAGCAGTGATTGACTCAGCCTTATCTTCACCCAGGCTAGCACCAATTTGGTTACCTTCTTTCAGTGCTCTGATTTCTATTTAAATGTGGGATGTTTCTAATCACATTAAAAGAGAGCAAAATTGAGCTGGTTTAAACTGCAATGAAAATGTCCACTCCGTCTTTTGAATTAGTTTAATAAAATCAGAATATAATCATGTCTTACATTAACCTGGGGCAGTCTGACTCGTGAAAAAGACTTTTTTTTAAAATAAGCATTTGTTAAAATATGTCATATAATAATATGACTTCTGAGTAATAGCGCATATAGAAAAAATCTGTCTGAAAAATTTTCAGCAAGATATTCTGGTTGGAAGGAGCAGTTTGCTGAAATGAGAGATCTCTGTGGAGACATAGCAGGTTCGTTAAGGAAATTCCTGGTTAGAATTTGTGGACAAAATTTCCATAGAAAGGAAATTCAAGTTCATAATCCCTACTATGAAAATTTCATGTCTAGATTTTTCTCAGAATCACTTAACTCCTATACATGTGTTTGAGAACTCCTACACACCATGCTAGGGGCTGCTTTGGGTTACAGGACTCTCCCTATTTTCATGAAGATATTGGAGAAGGTTCTAAAGGCTTTTGGATTTTCCATTTTTCAGGATGAAATTTTTAAAATATTTTGCCAAATGGATTTCTTTATTTTCAGCCCTAGCAAGGAACCTGGAGGACAATTTGGTTACCTTCTCAGTAAATATAAATTTTTAGAGGTTGTTTTTTTTGTGCCTTTTTTACATCAGTTAAATTATGTTGATTTTATAAAGCCGCGGATCTATTAAATCAAACTCATGTGAAATCCCTGAGATTGGAATCAGGGCCTGCAATTCCCAGATTCACCTCAAGATTTTTTTAGTGGTTTTGGTTCCTTCTTACTTTTGATGTAAATTGTCTCACTAAATGCCAGGATCATTTTGGAAACAAGTCTGTATTAAGACAGTGTGTTACAACAGCGCAGGGAAACTCAGGCAGTTTTCTTAGAAAAAGCCACACATCAGCAGCTTGCTTTGGATTTAAAGAAAGTTTTTATAATCATCACAAGTTGCTGTAGGAAGAGAAGAAATTAAAAAAATAAATGCTTTGCAGCGTGAAGCCTCTGCTGGGTGCTGGTATTAAAGGACACCCATGTAGGATGACAGTAAGTGTCGTGTTTCTGACAAGAGCAATGCATTTTTCTGCTGTGTGCCGAGACAAGAGCAGGACTGGATTTAAAACAAGAGAAAACAGAGAGGAGTGGAGTGTATGTTTAAAAAAAAAAAAAAAAAGAGAGAGAAAAAAAATAAAAAAAAAAAGAAAGAAAAAAAAAAGGCACCTGTGAAACGGCTGCTTCTTCATGTCAATTCTCCCAGCGAGCTGTGAAAGCCTGGCCGCGCCGGGCGAAGAACAAACATGGAAATCCTTCTGAGTGTTTACATATTGCGGAGAAATAGCAGCCGTGTCAAAGGGAAAGCATGCGAAAGCAAATAGTCGGAGGGGAATGGCTATTGGCAGCCGGCGGGGGAAAAAAAAAAAAAAAAAAAAAAGAAAAAAGATGCTTGGGAGTCAAACGTCACCGATAACCCCACGAGGGCTGGAGGTGTCGGGCTGCGGTGTGGGTATGGGTTTGTCAGCACCTCCACACGAGCTATTTTAGCCAGCTGACAAACAGGGCTTTGAACGCTGCTGGACCCACGTGCTTCTGCCGCCGGGAAGTTGCTGGGGCCACCAGTTGTTGTCCCCAGTGTCTGGCTGCTTTACGTCGGGCAGTGAGTCCCTGCCAGGCCAGGGCATCAGCAGGTCTTTTTATCCCCTAGAAAATAACTATATCGAATACTACAAGTCCCAGAAACCAAGATCCAGCACTTAAACATCACCAGAACGTCTTAAAAAGTGAGAATGTAATTCAAAAGGAATGTCTGTTAGTTTGAGGTTTATTATTGCTATTACTATATTTTCATTTCCCCCAAACTACAAAAGTATGTCGTGGTCATATTTTCAAGCTTATTGAGTTTCTAACAACTATGTTAGGATAAAACCTGGGGCTTTAAGAGGAACAGACCAAAGAGTTAATGGTTCGACTCCGTGATTGTAAAGGTCCCTTCCAACCTAGCAGATTCTATGATTCTAACTTCAGTGATTCTAACTTAGATAAAACCATGAAAAGGGGCCCTAAAAAGAGCTGAAATGCTGTTCTCTGTTCTCTGCTGTTCAAGGCGACTTGAACTATGCATCTGTACTTTAAAACATCTGTGTTTTCTGTGAAATCCCCACCACTCTAAAGCCAAAGGGAATTTAGCAATTGCCCTTAGGGGAGCCAGGTTTCCAACCCTTTTTTTTTAATATAGACTGTCCCAGGTGCTCACATTTGTCTTAATTTTTAATCTCCTCAACAGCCTCCTCCACAGACAAAGCACAAATAAAATAATTTGCATTTTTGGCTCAGGGACAAGCTGTGCAGGTGATAAGTATTTTTACAGAGGATACAAAATCGGAGTCAGGGGCCCCCGTGCAGCACAGGACAATTCAGCTTTTGCTGGCCTCAGTGGTATCTTGGCATGAAAAGGAATTTTTTGGCTTTTTTTGGACCAGAAAAGTCAGGAGGTGGTGCAGGAGGAGGTTTGTAGTTGCCACAAGTGCTTCAGCATCGCTCTGCTGAAGTGCTGCAGATGTGCAGGGTCTTCTTTAAAGCCTGTGGTTGAAATGGGGTGAAGATAGCTGTTTCCCTTGTGCAGCAGGAGAAGGGATCCCCTTACCTAGAAGAGGTAAGGGTGAGACCCTCAAAGATAAGTGAATTCCTATGAGTTTTGTAAAAATAAGTGGCTGGGGAGATATCCACTGTGAGGCTTGAGCAAACAGGAAAGTTTGTAAAAAGAGCTCAGGTCTCAAGGAAAGAAAGACCATTTTCATAGAGAGGGCAGATCTTATAAGCGGTTCAATTTTAGGGGGAAAAATTAATTTGCACTCTCTTAACCACCAGGGACTATCAATTCTATGGCAAGAAACACTGAAAATCAGATGTTGTTAGTTCTGTTGCTTTAAGATTTGTTCAGGTTGCCTTCACTGTCAAATTGGAAGATGCTCGAGACAGAAACTATTGTACTTTTTGTTTTCCATGAGGAG